GTCTGCTACTAGTTTGGCAGCTAGGTCTCATCATTTTAAATTTGAATTGGCTAGATGTAACTGTTAGTTCTATGCTAATAGTTTATTCTGTCACATTTCTTGCTTGTGGAAATCTCTTCTGGCCTTTTGCTTCCCTGTCAACTTTGATCTTCAAAAATTTAAAGACAATGTCAATTGGTATCTTCTGTCCTCTTAATTTTTGTTCTTTTATTGTCATCTCTTCTTAAGAGTGTTTTCTTTTCTCATATTTTCTATAACTTAGTAATCCCTTGTATTTTAATGGCTTTATTTCCTTGCTTGGAGTGAAATTAGCCTGTATCAAAAGTATTTTCATTTATTACATATATATATATTCCAAAGCTTATTTCTGTTGTATACAAATTTCCTTCTGGGTCCCATCCAGAGATATAAGGTCAGAAATGGCTTCATGACATTTTCCAAAGATCATTTTATTAAAAAAAAATATAAATAAAATCAAATATATTTTACATAGATAAAGCTCTTGTATTTTTATTATTTGTTTGTGTGTTATGTTTCCTGCTTTGTATCTTGTAGAGCCAGTTGCAATCTATGCACCTTTGGCCCTATAGGAAAATTGTCATTTAACTGATAACACTTTTCCTAGTATATGGAATGTTCCTAGTAGGGCGATTTTCTGAGCATGTCATAAGAGCAAGGATGCTGAACAGCTAATGTATGGAGAGCATATCATAAGAGCAAGGATGCTGAACAGCTAATGAATAAGTCATGGAGAAATGCTGAACAGCTAATGTATGGAAGCATATCATAAGAGCAAGCATGCTGAACAGCTAATGTATGGAGAGCATATCATAAGAGCAAGGATGCTGAACAGCTAATGTATGGAGAGCATATCATAAGAGCAAGGATGCTGAACAGCTAATGTATGGAGAGCATATCATAAGAGCAAGGATGCTGAACAGCTAATGTATGGAGAGCATATCATAAGAGCAAGGATGCTGAACAGCTAATGTATGGAGAGCATATCATAAGAGCAAGGATGCTGAACAGCTAATGTATGGAGAGCATATCATAAGAGCAAGGATGCTGAACAGCTAATGTATGGAGAGCATATCATAAGAGCAAGGATGCTTAACAGCTAATGTATGGAGAGCATATCATAAGAGCAAGGATGCTTAACAGCTAATGTATGGAGAGCATATCATAAGAGCAAGGATGCTGAACAGCTAATGTATGGAGAGCATATCATAAGAGCAAGGATGCTGAACAGCTAATGTATGGAGAGCATATCATAAGAGCAAGGATGCTGAACAGCTAATGTATGGAGAGCATATCATAAGAGCAAGCATGCTGAACAGCTAATGTATGGAGAGCATATCATAAGAGCAAGGATGCTGAACAGCTAATGTATGGAGAGCATATCATAAGAGCAAGGATGCTGAACAGCTAATGTATGGAGAGCATATCATAAGAGCAAGCATGCTTAACAGCTAATGTATGGAGAACATATCTTAAGATCAATGATGCTGAACTGCTAATATATGTAGATCCAAGCAAAATAGCTAATGTATGTAGAGCATTGTATAAGAGCAAGGATCCTGAAAAGCTAATATACATAGAACTTTACATATGATCAAGGATGCTGAATTACAGCTGAGAAGTAAAGTAATATCCACACATTCCTCTCGAAGACAACTTTTATAAAATGTCTTGTAGAATGTTGGATTTGTTTTTACTAAAATGATATAAGATCAACCTTTCATAGGATGATATATCTGACACATAACTGATTACTTGAAAACTTTGAAATCTATATTGTGTCAACTTAAAGTAGTGGGGAAACTCAAATACAAACATCTCTGCCAAAGGAAACAGGTAAAATTGATCTATATATAAGTAGATAGGTAAAAGTATAAATGACACCAAAAAATGTGTCATTTAATTTTATTTTATGATGTCTGGACTTTATCCTGAAGAAAAAACAAAAAACTTTGAAGTCATATTTACAGATTTTTTTATCTTTCTATACATATCTAGAATTATATTATTGCAACTGTTTTTTGGGCAAAATGCTTCCTTATCTTGATTTGATAATGATAACTTTCTGCAAATGAGACAACAGATGATATTGTGTCAAAAGCCACAGATATATAACAGATATTTTGGCTTCACAGATAATTTTTACCTAATTTTATGGAGAAGTATGTATAAATAACAAATCCATCTCACTCCCTGAAGAAAACATTTTTTTACAATAAAAGGCATAAGTGCCACTCAAAGTAGAGGGTTACAGAGTGAGAGGCACAAATTATCAGGATATGTGGGGAAGATAATGGTTAACCCTAGACTTGATCAGGTTAAGATTGTTGTGATTGGGGAACTGTCCTCATGAGAGTTGGTTCCAGAATGTCATGGTTCGTGGGAAGATATTGCTTGAGTGGAACTTACATCTCACCATTGAAATACAAAAGGAATAAAGGTAGTTCAATACAATGTGTGTGGCATGGTGGGTATTAGCCAT